GTAGCACGTGTATTAATTAACCATATTACTACGCAGGCATAGCCTCTCTCATATTACCTGCCTACCTCAGGGTGGGATGTTTGTTAGAATAAAAAAAACTCACTGTGTTGATTCACCACTGTTGCCCCAAATCCGTAGTTTCTATTAACTTCCACTCTTGGTAGTGTTCATTTTCTAAGTTTTGGCAAATGCATAAGGATATGTATCCATTTTGGATTATCATCATACATATTGGATTCACTCCCTAAAAGCCCTCTGTGTTCGGCCTGTTCGCCCCTCCTTCCCTCCCTCCCTTTCCATCCCTCCACTGACTGATCTTTTTTTCCTGTTCTGGGGACTGAACTTGGGGTCAATATATTATGCAAATCCTTTTGCATGGATTTGCCCACTTGGTAATATGCGTTTAAGTCCCTCACTGTCTTTGCGTGCCTCAGGTATTCCTTTCTTTTTATTACAGAGTAACAGACCACTGTCAAGGTATACACAGTATATCAATACATTCACTTACTGAAATGTGTTTTGGTTGCTTCCAAGTTGGGGCAATTGTGGATGCAGTTGTCATATAACACACATGTGCTGGGTTTGGGGGGGAGACAATTTTCAAAATACCAAGGAACTTGAGGGTTGGACTATATGGGCAGAGTCTGGTTTGTTTTGTATGAAAGAACCAACCGTTTACTGTGTGTAGTTGCTACACCATTTTACCTTTCCACCAGGAATGAATGGGAGTCCCTTTTGCTCTCCGGGGTGCTGAGCATCTGATGTCAGTGCTACAAGACTTCATTTCTTCAGGGGGTGTGCCGTGATGGCTCACCGTGGTTTCCTTTGTATTTTCCTGGTGCCCTGACATGGAGTGGATTTTCAGGTTCTTCTTTGCTGTCTGCATCTCTTTTTTGGTGAAGAATCTGGACAGGTCTTCAACTCCTTTTAGAATAAGATTGTTCTCTTGTTAAGTTTTAAGAGGTCCTTGTACTCATAAGTAACAAACCTTTGTGTGATGCATCCTCTGGAACTCTTCTCCTTCATCTGCGGTTTGTCTGCTCATCCTCTTAAATTGTCTTTAACACATCAGAATTGTCTTTATTTATACCTAGATCATCAATTCCCTTGTAGATCCAATTTTTAGTATTGTAGCAAAATATCATCACCCAAGGTCCAACCCATCTAGATTGTCTCTTATAATGTCTTTTATGAGATACGGTTTTTCATCTTTTAAGTAGGTTAGGAATCCATTTGGAATTAAATTTTATGGAAGGTGTAATATATATACATGTCTAGATACTGTGTATGTGTGTGGGGGAGTAGTATGAGTGTACAGTTGTGCCAGTACCATTTGCTAAGAAGACTATTTTTGCTTCATTGTAATGTTCTTGCTCTTTGGGAAAGATTCATTGATTTTATTTATGTCAGCTGGTTTCTGGGCTTTCTATTCTGTGCCATTGATCTACTTGTCGATAGCATACTTTTTGAGTACTGTAGCTTTTTAGTAAGTCTTGAATTTAGCTTCCTTTCTCAATTTCAGTTGGCTATTCTGGGCCTTTTGCCACTACTTATAGACTTCAGCATCCATTTCCTGAGAGCTACAAAATAACTTGTTTGTGCTTTGATGGGGATTGCATCAGATCTATAGATGGAATTCTTCCTCTGAAGTCTCTTTTATCACTCTTCTTTTGGGTAGTGGTTTTTGTGTTCTGCTTAAGACATTTATTTTAACCCTAAACCCATGAAGATTGTGGTGGTTTAAGTGAGGATGTCTCCATAAGGCTCAGGTATTTGAATGCTTGGTCCCCAGTAGGCGGCTCTCTTTAAGGGGGTTTAGGGGGTGTGGCCTTGCTGGAGGGAGTATGCCATGGAGGGGAGGGGCAATGCCCTACCCTCAGTTTCTTCTCTCTCCCCTGCTTCTCTTTTTCCCTGCCACTCTCTCTCAGCAGCAGCTTCGTTGCCATGGCTGCCTGCTGCTATACCACCCTGCCATGATGATGATGAACTCATGTGTCCCTGGAACCTTAAGCCCAAATGAACTCTTCCTTCTAGAAGATGCCTCGGTCATGGTGTTTCATCACAGCTTTAGAAAAGTAACTAATACAAATATCTCTCTTCTAGATTCTTTAGTGACAAAATTCAAAATTGTTGTTATACTTTTGAAGGGCATAGTCATGATTGGCAGCACTGTAAGGGAGGGCCCTAGAGGCTGGTTATATTTGCTCTCAAGGTAATCATGGTAGTTCTACTTGCTTACTTTTAAATACCCATTGACTTGTATACTTAGTGTGTATCTGCTATGTATGTGTATTATAGAGAGAAAGATATGGATGGGGGAGAACACTAATGAGAAAAAGTGAGTAAAAACAGATAAGGAAGTAAGAAAAATCTGTGTAAGATTAGATGAAATATTTGTGAGCAGATGAGACATGAGCCGACATTCTGGTAAATGCATTTCAGTAAACTATATTTAACAGGTATGTTTGAGGATCAGAAACACTGAAGTATGTTAGGAACGTGATGAAAACAGAGTTGAGCGTGAACTAAAGTCCTGGTATCGGCGAAAACTTAGAAAGTCTGCATGGAAAGGGGCGAGCAAACGCAGAGCCCAAAGGGAGGCAAGTCATGGCTGTTCGAAGCGTTGTGTTTGGTAAATTGTTTATGAAAGGTTCCAGTTGGCACATGGAAAGCTGACTTCCGATTTCCACCATCTAACAAGAGGCATGAGTAGTGTGATCGCCAGAAAATGATTGTCAGTGAGCTTGGAGGTGATGAGGAGGCTGTGAAGATCCAGGCTTGAAGCCAGGGCTACACAGAGAAGGCCTGTGTCGAAAAACCAAAAGGGAAAAAAAGATCCAGACTTGAGTCACCACCATTCAGGGCAGAGAGCTAATCAAATGACCAGAAAGAGAGCAGTAGCACTAAACACACACTCAGTGGTGCTCTTGAGAGTTCAAGAGGAAGTGCGCCAGAGTGGGAATGGACATCCTGCCGGGAGCTGTCCCTAGCAAGGCAGAATGCTAAGAGCCCTCCCAAAGCACAAGAATGCTCAAGGTCCTCAGCCAGAGTCTGTCAGAGGAGAAAGCCACTAGCCGCCACTGCCATCAATCCACAGATGACATGGGTGTGATCAGACATTCCTCTGCTCTTTGCCCAAGCAAGTGTGCATTCCTAAAATGGGTCTGACAGGCAGGCATTAAGCACCACTGAGTGTGGAGTTGCTCTCTGAAGAGAAGGTCAGAGTGTAGGTGTCCATTTGGGCACTGTGTCCTCTGATGCCTGCCTCTCTTTCTACTCGCAAACACACACTGTTGAACAAACCAGTCACCAGTTTTTTTTTGGGGGGGGGGGGGTAGGTTTTTTTTGGTTTTGTTTTTGTGGTGGTGGTGGGGACAGAAGTAGAGGGGACAAATAAATGTGAAAACCCAGGTGATCGGAAAGAGCAGGCAACTCAGGAACTCCTGGGAGGTATAGAAGGGGATCCAAGAAAATCTGTAATTAGGATAATCTGCAGAAGGATAATAGAGAGTTCATGCCCACGCGTGGGACTTTGCATTTCTAAGCAGCTCGTGTGCCATCATGTTTACGACCTTGAGTGCTGCTAAGGCCAGGAGTCAGAGTCATCTGTCTGAGTCATAGTGCTGTAAATTCATCAGCACGCGTGGAAAGCGGTGCTTTTTCTAACTTTCAACATGTTTAATCACAACAATTTAAGGTTTTAATGAAGGAAAGGCATTTGGTATATACTCGTGGTAATCATAAGACTGTAAAGATTGAAAGTATAATTTTTCACAGTGTTAGACCGCTAAGCCAAGTTGTCATGTTTTTGGTTAATTATTTGAAATAGTTTGGGAGGAAAAAAAAAATCAGCATTCAAAAAATAATTAATAGTTTTCCTCTCTATAATTGCCGGTGTCATCACTGGCTACTGCGACTGGCTGCCAGCTCCTTTGTACCCTGGCTCTAGTGGCAATCAGCAAGTGCGATTAACGTTAACCACTTGTCCTAATAGCCAAATGCCAAATGTCATACCACATGCAGGATCCTAATTAGGCATTAGGAAGCAGACGGGATCAGCGTCATTAGCCAAGAATTAACCCCAAATTCAGAGCCACTTGAACTGGTGCTTGCAAAAATATAACAGCTCATCCTCGGGGATACTAGGGAGTCCTTCAAGAGTGGCAGGCAGTTCCATGCCCAGCTAAGAACCTTGAAATTCCTTTTCAAATGGGTAAAACCTTTTTTTGTGAGGAGCAAAGGTTTCCACCACCGCTTGCTCTTCCAGGATCAGGCAAATTTCTACACATTCTGGCTCCATGTGAGTGGAATTCACGTTCCTGTTTAGGTATTGACTAGTAACCACAGCCTCATGTATCAGGGCCCTTTGTGACATGTGTTTATTTGAAGAGGTAAGTCAGCGGAGCAGGACTGTCCTCTGTTTTTTCCAAGCTCCCCCTTACTCTGGGAAATGGAAGGGGGAGTAAGATGAGGAGTGCCACCTGCCATGGCTGCCCTCGGGTCCCCTCAGGACTAAGATACAGCCTTAAAGTGGCAGCAGGTGACATGCCGGGGAGCTCCAGTTCCAGCCGCTTTGAACATGGACATGGGAGTAAGCGGAATGTTACAAAATCCACACTCAGAACTGAAGCCCGTTGTTTCCATTCTAGAGGTGGAGGCGGCTAGGGTTTCCCCAGGTGCGCACCTCTGACAGGTTCCTTTGCATTCTGACTTTGAACTCTTCACAGCTCCCCTGCTTCTCTCCCTTGGGCCTGACTTCTTATAGTCACTATTGGAATTAATGATAATTATTCTAATTGAGTTTTGTGCATTTCCTAAAACCACTTCAATCACCTTTGGAATAAGATAGTGCCCCAGTCAGGGTTATTATTGCTATGATGAATCACCATGACCAAAAGCAACTTGGGAGGAAAGGGTTTATTAGGCTTGCCAAGTCCATCACTGATGGAAGTCAAGACAGGAACTTCAACAGGGCAGGAACCTGAAGGTAGAAACTGATGCAGAGACCATGGAGGAATGCTACTTATTGGCTTGTTCCTCGTGGCTTGCTCAGCCTGCTTTCTTATAGAACCCAGGATCACCAGCCAGGGGCGGGCACCACTCACAATGAGCTGGGCCCTCATCCATCAATCACTGATTGAGAAAATGACCTTCAGGCTTGCCAACAGCCCAGTCTTCTAGAGGCATCTTCTTAATTGAGGTTCCCTCCTCGAGGATGACTTTAGCTTGCACCAAGTTGGCATAAAACAATCCAACACAGACAGGATGCCAACGTTTCCTCTTCTTTCCAATAAGAGATGCCCTAAATGTATAACCTGATGTTTGTTTATGCTTTTCTACACAGAATTTTCACTCCATCATCTGATTTCATGATACAGAAATGTAGGAAACCACAGCTGACAGGAGTCTCCTCTTGTTAGAGTCTAGCATCGGATGGCTACTTAATACACACTGAGTCCAGATTTAAATGAGTGTCTGGGTGAAACTGAGGAATTAATAAGGAGACGGTAGAAACGGCTTTAACGCAGCTACAAGGACAGAGAGCAGTACAGCTATGATCCCCTCGGTGTGACAGTGATTGTGTGTCTTTCTTTCCCTTCATTCTTTCCTCCATTTGTTTCCTACTTTTACATTTCTTTCCTTAATTTTTGTTTTATTCTGTTTGGAACTGTCTTGCTATCTCTGTACCAAGCTGTCCAGAAACGTGCTGTGTAGGCCAGGCTGACTTCACAAAACTCCCACCTTGGCCTCCCCAGAGTCACAACATTCCAGCTGTTTTCTACCATGATTGACTTCTCTGTGGAATGTGGAAGAGTTTGATGGTTGTAGAATTGTAGTTAATATTGAAAGTATAACTTTCTTTCTTTAAAAAACAAACAAACAAACAAACAAAAACAACTCCAGTGTATTCTTGAGAGTCTACTTAAGAAGGCCAGGACGAATAGCAGGTACTTCAGAAGACTTCCCATCTGAGGTTATGGAGATGGCTCCGTCAGTTAAGGGCTGGGTCTGTAAGCATGAGAAGCTGGATTCAGATCCCCCAAACCCACAAACAAACAAGGGTTATGAGCAGCAGCTGGTACCTGTAAGAGCGGCACCGGGGAAGCAAAGGTAGAGGATTCCCTGGAGCTTGCTAGTTAACCAGCATAGCCCAACCGGGGAGCTCCAGTTCCAATGGCAAAACCTGTCTCAACAAATCAGGTGAAAAGGATGGGGAGATGGCTCACAAAGATCGGGGTTCAGATGCCCAGAGTCCACAGAAAAGCTGGGTGAACATTAAAAGCTTGCTTTTAATCCAAGCAGAGACAGGGAGTTACTGAATCATGCTGGGTATCCAAACTAGCCAACCGACACCCTCTGGGTTCAACGAGAGAGCCTGACTCTGTGAATAACGTGGTTAATGATTGGGAAAGATGCCTGACATCAACCACAAGCCTCCACACACACAATCCCATACACCCGCTACAGACATGTGCAAATGAGCTCACACACCAAGGTAATAAATAACTAAGATGGGGAACAATAGAGGAAGGCACTCACCATTGATCTGTAGTCAGTCACACACATACACACACACACACACACACACACACACACACACACACACACTTTACATTTGAAAATAAAGTTTTGCAACATAAAACTTAAAAGAGGAGAACAGTCAGCTGGCTAGAAAACTTACTCCCAGCAACACCTTATCTCCTGGCCACACTCCACGCCTAGACTGTTGATGAACCCATAGTGGAAGTCCCTCCCAGGTGGAAAGGACATCTCAGGAGAGTCAGTGTAAGTGGAGAATGCAGACTGATTAGGATCGGTTCTAAGCAACCAGGCTGCGGGGAGAAGCAATCCCAACCCACTCTAGGACTATCCTGACTTCCTGCGGGGTTGTTCATTACAGGTAGAAGTGGGGAGTTAATAACTAGCATGCAAGAGCTCACTTTCTTTCTCTACTAGCTGATTGCTCATTAAAAGCTCTAGACCTAATGCCTTGAAGCAGCCTGGCCCCTTCCTTGCCCTTATGTGCACTGAACTTTGGTTTCTGCAACAATGGGGAAAGAAAGAGACATTCATGAAGGCCTTCCCAAAACTTCGGGACAAAGGATGTTGTATACATCTTATTAGGACCTGAGACTTGACTGATACGATACAAATCACTGCTGTGGAGTATGACAAACCTAGTCCCTGGACTTCCCCATTGGCAGCTTAGATCCCCTGGAAGTCTGCTTTCCCGGGGCTAGTTAAATAGAGGGATCACAGACAGCAAACTGAACTCTGCACTGGGCATTTCTGTTACTATGAACAATCAAAATTGTTGTTGTTGTTGTTCACAGAATTATGCAAAACTCATTCCTGGGGCGACCGTGGGACTGCTTCAGAAGGACTCCGGAAACATTCTCCAGCTGATCATCTCTGCTTATGAAGTATGCTATTTCACTTTGCAAGCAGTAGGCTTCCCTTTCAGCATCCCATTGGCATCTAGGCGCTAAGATGTAGGTAGCGAAACACACTTTCATTTGTTCGTAGAAGGATTGCTCATCCAGAGAAAATCCCTCTGCATTCATGCAGCTAAAATATAGATTTTTATTTATTTCACTCACTCATCTTCCCAAATGGAGCAGCAGGTAGAAAAATCAAGGTCCTGACCCCAAACTGAGGCTGGTTCAGAATGATGCTCTGCAGACGTGTGGCCTCCAGCAAAACTTGAATACAACTGAAAGGACTCGGAGGCATGATTGAACTCCTCTCTGCTGAAAAAAAATCAGCATAAATTGCCAGTGAGCAACAGTTATGTGGTGAACCAACTCCACAGGTTCAAAGAGAAAAGATCAAACACAAACAAAACTACAAGGCCTGACCACAAACCAAAATACCGAAAGCGTACCAAGCACTCGGTGGATCAGGTTCCCTAGTCTGCATTTCCAGAGGAGCGGAAGGCCCTGTCTAAGTTTCTGTCCCCCTTGCACTGATAAAACACCCTGAGAAGAGCAGCTTAGGAGAGAAAGGCTTGGTTTGGGCTCACAGTCCAGGTCGGAGTCCATCGCAGTGGAGACGTCAGGGCAGGAGCCCCGGGGAGTTGGCCACGTGAAGGGCAAAGTGAGACCAGCTCTCCTCTGACTGCCGCAGGCCACAGGCCGCATGGTGGCTCCTGCAAGCTCCAGGAGCCTGGAACCCTGAGCTGAAACAAAGCATTCCTCCCTTCGCTTGTTTTTGTCACAGTATTTTATCCCAGAAACAGGGAAAGAAAGTAAGACAGATTTTTTCTTTGAGTTGACCTGTGATGCCATACTGAGGACAGAATTCCCCCCCTCAACAAAGGCACATAGATAAGGTTGCTGTGTTCTCTCTGTCCCCATTGCCTAACTCAGTTGGTCAACACTGGATGGCCAGTTGCCACTGCTATTTTTATTTTGGCCCTAAATATCCTTTTTCTTTCTTGACTAAAAATAAATAAATAAATAAATAAATAAATAAATAAATAAATAAATAAATAAATAAATAAATAAATAAATAAATAAACTCCAATTTGGACAGGCATTAAAAACAAAAACATTTAGAAATCAGTAAAGCGCTAGGGGCAGTGGCGCACACCTTTAATCCCAGAACTGGGGAAGCACAGCCAGGCGGATCTCTGTGAGTTCAAGGCCAGCCTGGTCTACAGAGTGAAATCCAGGGCAGGCACCAAAACTACACAGAGAAACCCTGTCTCGAAAAACAAACAAACAAACAAAAAAAAAACCCTTTTAGAAATCAGTAAAGCTCTAGTCTTTCTTCAAAGAATACTTAACTAATAATGAATGAATTAAACTCTCCATATTTTTGATGTTTGAAAATTGCACATTCATGACCCATATGTAATGGTATACTCTAATACTGGGTATATATGAAGCCAGTGTGCCTTGATTGACTAACAGACCAGAGTCACCTGAGAAGCTTTTTAAAAAGCTACTCCTACTCAGACTGCTTTCAGACATCCTGTAGACATTCAGAGGAAGGAAAGAAACGTGTTTTGAAAAGAAAATTACCTCCCATGTGATTTTGACATCACCTCACCAATTTTGAAATTTGTGCAACAAGGAGGAAAGCATGCTGGCCCTTCACAAAGACTTCACTTTTTTCGGAGAATGGAACCAGTTCTGGCCACTAAAACTGTCCAGTGTTGGGGGATTTCCCCCTAGCAATGCTCAGATATTGCAGCTTTCCTAGCACTCATAAAAAATTAATCACCATGTCAGCTCATCCTTAAAACTCTTCCAGACAGGAAGAACTGTCAACAAAACACAGAGAAACACCCCTCCCCATTCTCGTGCACTAATTAAAGTTCTAATGTATAGAATCAAATAGAATCACAAAGCAATCCTTCACTGGCTTATAACGCATTCCATTTTCTTTAACTTTATACTCTCAGAAGTGTTGACTGCTAACCACTTCAAAGAAATTAGGCAAACGAGGAAACAGTGGATTGTCAAAAATGTTTACCCATCCCATCAGCCAACCCCCTCCACACCCCTACTCGCTCTGTTCCGGGGAATGTCTCACTTTGCATTCCCAAATTGCTCACACAATTTACAAGGTAGCTAAGATCAAGTCATTACACATTTGAATGGAATCTTGGCTCGTTGTTTATTGCCTGGAAAATACCAAGGCTTTAGGCTGGAAGAGATGGCTCTGGGGTTAGCATTACTTGGGGCTACTCTTGCATAGGATCTGGGTTTGATTCCCAAAACCCACATGGCATCTCACAGCCATCTGTAACTCCAGGTCCAGGGGGCTCTGATGCCCTTTTCTGGCCCCCACTGGCACCAGACACACACATGGTACACAGGCATACACAGCCAAGCACTCATGTAGGTAAAAGAAAATACCGAGAAGCAGGTATCACTCTGCTGAGTTACATTGTTCTGGAGTTCTTGTTGGAGCTATATGATCTGTGAGGTGACATGTGCAAAAGATTATGACCCTTGTCTAAAATAATTATTTTTTACTCTGTTATACTTAAATGTATTTGAAAAAGACTTTCAAATAGAGGACCCTATAGACCGAATATCTTCTTCATTATATAAAGAAAGTATATTGAGAGAAAGCAAAGCAAAGCACTTCTGATTAACTTCTAGCAAGGCAGAAGCAAATTGTGGCTACAAACATTGGCTAAGTATTTTTAAATGCCATCTTGATATACAAAAAAAAAAATCTTCAAACTTGTTGTGTACTCGCTCACCCACTCACTAACGTCCTTCCTTCCCTTATTATATACTAAAGGCATCAATGGTCTCAGGGTTGGCTCTTCTACTGGAATTTAACCTCTAGGAAGGAATTCATTTGTGTCCTTTGCGCAGCCTCGTAGGCGATGCTTAAAAAAAATTAATGAGTGGAATGATAAGGAATACAAATTAGCATTTCTATTCTTTCCTTGGGAAATACACGTTAATCATTTTCCCAGTCAAATTTGCACGCTAGTACTCAATTATTTCAACGCTGAGATTCTCCTCATTTAGGTTAGACAATGCCGCCCACTAGTCCTCATTATTGTCACCGGCTCATGTAGGTAAAAGCTCACACATCCTCTTTTCTTCCATAACTTCTAACTCACTCTGCCGCTCTCCACAGCTACTTCTCCCTTAAATCTTCGAGGTTTCGGTGTAAGTACACTTTGGAGGGCTCGGGTGGTCGCTCCTTCAATAAAGTGCTTCCCTTGCAAGCATGAGCATTTGTGTTGGAGCCCCAGAACCCACACAGAAATGCTGGGAATGGAGCTTTCCATTATTGTGAAAGCAGAGACAGACAGATCCCTGGAGGTTGCTGGCCAGCCAGCCTGGCCAACCTGAAGAGTATGAGGCCAATGAGAGACTAAGACTCAGAGGACAAGGTGGATGGTCTCTGAGGAACAACACCTGAGTTGTCCTGTGGCTTCCACTCACACTTGTACAAATGTGCACTACTGCACACACATACCAGATTTTGAAAGAAGTAGACTTACCTTTCTGTGCAGTTGGCAAAATTATACTTTAGAAAAAAATTGAAGCCAAATGTGCTTTTATAATGCCAAAAATGAGAGAAGGGGATATATCTCACTGATAGAGTGCTTGCCTAGCACATTCAACCCCTAGTATCATAGATAGGTAGATAGATGATAGATAGATAGATAGATAGATAGATAGATAGATAGATAGATAGATAGATAGATAGATAGATGATAGATAGAAATAAATAAATAAATAAATAAATAAATAAATAAATAAATAAATAAATAAATAAAGAAAGAAAGAAAGAAAGAAAGAAAGAAAGAAAGAAAGAAAGAAAGAAAGATAGATTGAAAGATAGATAATGATACATGCCAACAATGAAATAGGTATAAACTCAAAACCTTTTGGATGAATTGAAATATAACTCAACTCATAATATGGTAAGTGTTTTTATTATTTGATAGCTTGTTTTTGTCTCCTTACATATGTTCTAAGTAAGCAAGGAATAGAAAAGGCAAGATGAGAACCTTTCAGAACAGAAATCCAGTCTTATCCAAGATCTGACTTGACATTCAAGGCATGATAATTTCCCCAAATAATATTAAGGTACAATTCTCACACACACACCGCACTTGAACACCTCTAGAATTTAGAGTACTGGGGGGCATAATTTAGTAGTAAGTGCCGGGGTGGCAGGCATAGGGCCTGTGTTTGAGCTGCAGCATGGCAAGAAAACAAATTAGATCCATTTGTAATTAGTGAAGTCTTTACAGCCACCATATACCAGGTGGCAATCACGGTATAGTCTTCATCCACAATTGAGATTATTGTCCTTCCAAGCAATTTCATGCATATTTGTTACTTTAAGTGCTAAGTGTGGTTGCTGTTGTAAAATATGCTTAAATTTTTTTGAACTATGATTCAACACTGAGATGAAAAGTTGTTACATATGCAGAAATGTGCCCAGCCAAGCAGTAGGGTGTAAATTTGGTATCAATGAAGCAAATGTTCATAGTTTGGGGATGGATGCAATTCTGCTCTCCTCACAAAGCAGCACGGGCAGCTAAGGTACAAAAACTAAGAAACAGAGATGACTATAAGTAAAGGATGCCATTGTTATATTTTACTTCTGGTACAGAAGCAAAATAATTATCTTTTGGATACCAAGCCATGCAACCCCGATCAGGAGAATTTGCTGAACCCTCCAGAATGGATGAAACAACTTTCAAGCAATAATTGACTCCTGTTTGTCATATGCAGTGCAAGACTGCTTTCAGATATATTGTCACAGCTTAATTGCCATAGGATAGTGTATCTCAACACTGATGATGTCTGAAATATATATACATATATATACATATATATGTGTGTGTATATATATAAAACATATATTTGTATCTATATCACATATATATCACATTCTTGCTTGTTTAATGAAATGATGAATTTTATATCCAATTTAGTTTTATTAATTTATAGTCATTCATTCTGTTCTTGTGCATGTATTGTGTGTACGTGCATGTGCACACTCACATGTGCCCCAGCATGCATGTGGATGTTGCTTCCACCTTTCACCTTGTTGGAGACAGAATCTCTTGCTAATTCATTGCTACAAATACTATTAAGCTGGGGCTGGAGAGATGGCTCAGAGGTTAAGAGCACTGGCTGCTCTTCCAAAGGTCCTGAGTTCAATTCCCAGCAACCACATGGTGGCTCACAGCCATCTGTAATGAGATCTGGTGCCCTCTTCTGGCCTTCAGGGATACATGCAGACAGAACACTGTATACATAATAAATAAATAAATCTAAAAAATAAAAATAAAAATAAATACCATTAAGCTTCCAAGGTTTCTCGTGTCTCTGGCTATCATCTCCTCATAGACTCCAGATTGCAGGCTTACAGTCCTGAGTCCCTCTTCATGTGGGTTCTGAGATCTGAACTCATGCCCTCACACTTACAGAGTAAGAGTTTTACTCACTCAGTCACTTCCCTAATTCTTTCTTCTGTGATTTAATGAGCACGATTCGGTTTCTTCTTCTGGCTGGACTTAGTTTTGCTTCGAACTTCATTTAACCTTTTCTTGTCTACACTACAGGAACTGCGGTCTGAGGTCGAACTGGAGGTATTAGGAGACACAGAAGGACTCAGCCTGTCTTTTACAGCTATCTGTAACAATGGCGTCCTCTTCCCACACCAAAAGAAATGCTCCCACATGAAAGTTGGGGATACAGTAAGTAGATACCCAATGGATCTTTAGACATAACATTCAGATGGGTCAGAAGCTAGCTCGGCTTGCCGAAGCTGGACTTCTCGCAAAAATTACAACCATCTCTTACTAACTGTTTTGGGCAGAGCCAGTCTCTACCAGCCCTGTCTCAAATCCCACAGGTGGCTGGAAGAAGCAGATAAGCAGCGTTTTCTTTTCCAGGCATCCTTCAACGTGACTGTGAGCATATCCAACTGCGAGAAAAGCAGAACCCTTACCATAAAGCCTGTGGGGCTGGGGGACACCCTGGAAATACTCGTCAGTGCAGAATGTGACTGCGCCTGCCAGGGAGAAGTAGAAGCCAACAGTTCCAAGTGCTACCATGGGAATGGCTCCTTCCAGTGTGGGGTATGTGTCTGCAACCCCGGCCACATGGGTCCTCACTGTGAGTGTGGCGAGGACATAGTGAGCGCAGATTCCTGCAGGGAGTCCCCGGGGCACCCCTCGTGCAGCGGAAGGGGTGACTGCTACTGTGGGCAATGCGTCTGCCACTTGTCCCCCTACGGGAACATCTACGGACCTTACTGCCAGTGTGACAACTTCTCCTGTCTGCGACACAAAGGCCTGCTCTGTGGAGGTAGGCTGTGGCTCCGCGCCTCTTACATCGCAGCTGTCTGGGGCCTTGACATCTTTCATTCCTTCCTTGCATGCCTGGGCTTAGTAGCTGCTCAATAAATATTTGCCGATGGCTTGGGGGGGGGGGCGTGAATCACTAGACTTGGCCTAACTGCATTATCACTTCTGTTCATTCGTTGTTGTGTCTAACATTCCTTTGGGGTCAGATCTCTGTCGATTGAATCTATATTTACATTATATGTAAATATTACTATTTCTTAAGGTTAAGTAGATAAAAGTTGGAGATGTCGCCTTTCTAGGTACCACCCAGGTTCCTCAAAACTGTCTGTGATCTGAATTCCATTGCCTGTCAGACTTTTCTAGGCTAAGTTGCTGGGTCTTACCCTATTCTTATGTATTTTACTTTGGAAATAAAAAAAGAAGAAGAAGGTAACAGAGACTGCCAAAAGAACAGAACCCAGGAGAAGGCACAGAAATGCCTTCACTTATTATATTCCTCTGTCTTTCTCTCCCTCCCTCCCTCCCTCCCTCCCTCCCTCCCTCCCTCCCGCCTCCCTCTCTCTCTTCCCACTTCCTCCATCCTTAGATTCACAGTACTCCTGTCTCAGGCTCCTGAACACTGGGATTACAGTTGATTATATCGTACCTAGCCACGAATACTTACCAAAGGTACTAGATTAGGGGCTGGCCAAGTAAAGCTAGGCAAGAACGCACGTGAGAAAGTCTGTGGAAAGAATGAACATAGAAAACAGCTTGGAATTTCTTGAAAATTTCAAGAAAAGTTTAAAATGTAAATATCTATACTTTTATATCTTTTGTAGATATAAAAACAATATTCTCTAAGAATATGCTACAGAATCGAGGTGTAGTGGCACATACCATTAGTATACCTGCACTTGGAGGCAGAGGTAGCCAGATCTCTGTGAGTTCAAGTCTAGCCTGGTCTACATAGTGAATTTCAGACCAGCCAAAAATGCAGGATGTGACTCTTCTCTCTCTCTCTCTCTCTCTCTCTCTCTCTCTCTCTCTCTCTCTCTCTCTCTCAAAACAAATAAACAAACAACAAGAGGAATCTACTCTGGATGCTGGAAAGATGGCTTTGTGGTTAAGAGTACATCCTATTCTTCAGGAGACCTGAGTGTGGTTCCCAGCACTCTTGATGGATGGCCTTTAACCATCCATTCCATGGGCTCTGACGCCCTCTTCTGGCCTCCATGGACACCTGCACACATGTGGCATTCACTGATACAGACACATACACGTAAATAGAAATACCAAAAGTGAAGTTTTAGGGGCCAGAGAGAATGCTCAGTGGTTAACAGCACACTCAGAGGACCTCAGCTCAATTCCCAGCACTCACGTCAGGTGATCACAACTGCCTCTGACTCCAGAGGATCAGATCCCTCTGGCCTACGCAGGCACCTGTACTTGTGTGCACAGGCATATGTACAAATTACAAAAATAAACAGTTGAAAATAAATCTTTTAAAAAGAGGGAAAAGGCTGTGCTACATCAAACGCGATTGAAAATTATTCTGATACACGTATTTAATCATAACCTACTCTGACAGGAGTTACAACTATGTTGACACAGTTTTATTTGAAGCCTTAACTGGCTCTTGACTAAGCTTAGACACCCTGCTATCCCGTGATGTAAGCAAACATCTCAACAAAATGGAACAACATCGTCTTTACAGAAAACTAGGCAAGTGATATTTCCAAACCACAGTGTCAGAAACCCACATAAGATTAATTTTCTCGGTGCTCAGGAGGTTGAGGTGGGAAGATCAGAAGCAAATGAGACAAATAAAATAAATAAAACAAACAAACCAAAAAACACAGAAGGAAGTGAAAAGAAAGAGAGAAACTTATTTTCAAGAAAGAAGAAAGGAAGAAGGAAGGAAGGAAGAAAGGAAGGAAGGAGGGAAGGAAGAAGGAAGGGAGGAAGAGAGGAAGCCTCAAAGAATTCCAAATGCTATGAAAGCATTTACCCCTGAGGAGAGCTATGTCCCTCCCCGCTTCATTCAAAGGGTCACTTTCTGATTACACTGTGTTCACACATGTGTGTACATGTGTGCACGCATGTGTGAGTGTGTGTGTGTGTGTGTGGTGTGTATGGGATGAATGTGGTATGTGTGTCTGTACAAACCCACATCAGTGTTTTTTACTGGGTTTAGGCGGGACACAGCCTGTAGGTGACAAGAAGCTAGTCAATGCCAAAGCCATCCTCACACTCCAGGAAGAATATATTGGCAGATGCTCACACTGCCTTCCTAGTAAAGTGCATGTTCTGAACACTTGAAAATACTTTCTGAAAGTCCCAAGTGTAACATAATCTAATCTAATCTAATGGGGATTGTAGCTAGAGTTTTCCTGCCTTGCCCACAGTTAGGACAAATCTCTGTCACCATGCCAGTCCCACAGCCACTCAGACCCAACCAAGTAAACACAGAGACTTATATTGCTTACAAACTGTATGGCCGTGGCAGGCTTCTTGCTAACTGTTCTTATAGCTTAAATTAATCCATTTCCATAAATCTATACCTTGCCACGTGGTTTGTGGCTTACCGGTGTCTTCACATGCGGCTTGTAATGGTGGCGGCTGGCAGTTTCTCTCCTCAGCCTTCTGCTTCCCAGAACTCTCCTCTCTCCTTGTCCCACCTACTTCCTGCCTGGCCACTGGCCAATCAGTGTTTTGTTTATTGACCAATCAGAGCAATTTGACATACAGACCATCCCACAGCAGGGGATAGTAACCCTCCCAATATTCCAGTCCCTAAATCCTGGGTTAAAAGATCTAACACCCAGGAATTGCTGGCATGTGCTCTACAACATAGTGCCCCACCCCTGTTCCTTTCTTTAAAAAAATGATGATGATGATGATGATGATGATGATGATGATGATAATAATAATAATTCAGGGCATCAGGAACACACTAAAATAAAGAGTGTACTCAGCCTATACACTGTATAGATAGGTCAGACAATAATGACACTCATCATATCAGGTGCGGGAATGGCAAGAAATTCTATTTAGAAAACAAGAATTCTTCAGCTGGACTCAGAAACCTCCTCCATTGCCAAGTTCCTTCACACTTTGCTGCTTTCTCCTCTAATCTGTAGATACAAGTATTCAAATCCAGCCAGGACTGGTGGAGTAGCCTTGGTGTGTTCCCGGAATGTGCATAGCACAGGGATGGAGACTGCATTTCCCTGTTTACAGATGCTGTTGTACCAGCTGTGATTGCCCAAAGTCACCAGATACACCACTCACAACTTGCACGGCTCTCACTTACTCCATCCGTGATCGACTTGACAGCCTGCTGCTTTTCTGAAAAGCTTTTATCACGACGTCCTTTGTCATACGGTGTCTTTCATCCATCTCAAAGCACTCAGAGAGAGAAGGCTCCATTGATCGTGTTTATCCTTGCCCAAATTCCATTAGTCTGTTTTGATTCTAAGAGACTGGAAGCTATGTCAGGCAAATGGCATTAGAGGAGAAACTTCCTGTGATTATGCACTTAGCATTATTTTCCAGTGGCATTCCAGAAAGATCTATCCCACTGAAAAAGTAATTTTTTTCTTAGATCTTGGGTTATCATCTTGCTTATCCATGAAACCAATATGAAGGTGGCGCTATGGTGGCGTGAACTGGTACTGCAGATGATCATTCACCACCTTTGGTGACCTTGTTGATGGTCCTGGAAGGCCAGCAGAACAGAGAGTTTCTAGGTTCTGAAAGGCAGGCACATTTTATGACTGCTGTGATGGTCCTTTTTTTAATGTTCCAGGAAGGGTTTTCTAAACTACCAAGGAACTCTTGTATGCAGAGATGTACTAGACAGTCTCAGGGCATCTGGAAATGCACGGTTAGGCACCATGTTAATTTTTGGAATAAATTACAACCCAGAGCTTTTTTCTTCCCTTTCATAGGTGTTTCCCCTTTCCTGAGGAAGGAAAAAAAAAAGATACTAGAGTTTTCAAGATCGCTTACCCATAAGAATTAATTCTTGGTTTTCCCCCAAATCATTTACTATCTTTAGTTTTGAATTCCCCCAAATCATTTACTATCCTTAGTTTTGAATTCCTTGACTCAATTATAATTACATAGGCAGCTGGATTGAGTCTTAATGTCATGGGCCCAAGGAAATTTGGATCTATCTTTCATCTGAAAAGTGTGCCATTTAAATATTATACCATATGGAATAATATATAGAGAAAACATGTATCTATCACATACACAGAGAATACACACACACACACACACACACACACACACACACACACACACACACACACACACATCCCAGGAACATTCAGAACCCAACTTTGAATCCACTGTGGTTTGGAGCAGTATATGAAGGACTCTTCTATTGTCAGTCTCCTAAGACCCAGGGACAAAGCCAGAAAAGTAACTACTAGAACCAAGTCTGCAAGGGAGAAGCCAGTCTTCTGCCTCATAGTAAACCCGCCAGCATCTTCTATAAGTGGAAGCATCCGCCATTTATTTACTTTTACTTTGTTTTTAACGAAAGTATAGTTCTTTTAGTACTGATGACTAATTTTGCCTGCAAGTTCTTCCTCCTGGTTAACTTTTAGGAACATTTCTACTGACCAGTCCTTGTGGAGCTCAGTTACAGGCCAGGCACCACTGTAAACATGGGCATAGACTGACCTAGGTAGTTGCAAGTTTTGCTCAAAGAGCAAAATTTTCTGGTACAAGATATCTGTATGTGTGCCACCTTTTTTCTGAAGGGCAGTATCCGTTATGC